ACCTAATATCGTCCCAGACTTTTGTGTTTCGCTCAATTTAGTCCTCCATTTGTTATTCCATCAAATTGGTGTTAAATAAAGGGACAATTCAGTAACGTCAATATTGATCTCTCTTTACTTTCAACTTGTGAAGTGCGAAATTCCTTTTTCTTGTACGAATTACACCTAGAATTACTCCCGGACCTACAAATCAAATTTTATATTTGCAGTTTTAGGAGTAATTCGTAAAAAAAAAAAAGAGATTTTGCAGTTCACATGTCTATGAGTAAAGAGATGTCAATATTAAAATTACTGAATTGTCTATTTATTTAACACCTAATGGACAGAATAACAAATGAGGGACTAAATTGAGCAAAAACACTAAAGTCTGGGACTAAATTGAGCGAAACACAAAAGTTTGGGTCGATATTAGGTCACCAAAGTCGTCTAGGACGAAATTGAGAAAAACCACTATAGTCGATGACGATTTTGGGTATTAACTCAAATTACATTTTAGGTAAAGTCTGAATAGCAAAGTTAACTGTTAAAGGATCACAAAGAGGTGAAGTCTATCTAGCCTTATCTATAACTGATTGAATCAACCAAAAAAGGCCAATATACAACTTACAATAGAGAATTGATCAAACTTGGAACCTTGCAGTTGTTAAGTCAATTGTCCAACCAATTCGGTTGGGTTTCCCCAATATAGATTCCTTCTACTTATTAATCAAATACAAGAAGAACTAATCAAGTAATGCCAAGTCAAAAGATGAACATGCAGCGCTCTAAGTTCCCCGACTTTCACCTATTCGACCATCCCTGAACTCATACATAGATCCTAAAAGGTGAATTCAGATGAGGAGTGTCGCATTACTTTTTTTTTTTTTTTTTTTAATAGAATGATAGTTATTTACAAAAATGTGGCCCTTTATATATATATATATATATATATATATATATATATATATATATATATATATATATATATATAATATATGTACTAAATTCCCACCATTATTGTAGAATTTTTCATGATTATTTTTAAATTTTGCTTATTAATAAAGTAGAATTAAATTTTTATTTTCTATCTATTTTAGTATTTCTATAGTTTTTTTTTTTTTTTTTTCAAAAATGCTAGAAAAAATTATACTGAAATTAAAATTAAATACGTGTGTGTAATTTTTAGTCAATTTTATAGTCATAGTCAATTGTGAGGGTTTCAAGGTAAGGAAAGGTTTCGAAGTGATAACATAATTCCTGTTGCAACTTTGGTGTGTTGCATGCTAGCTAGATTCATTCATCTCCGTTTATTTAGGAATTACCATTGTTTTTGTCGTACTTCTTTCGTCATACAATTTTTAAGAGAATATTGTATTTGTATGCTTGAATAATTATTGTAAATTGGAAATAAATCTTAATCGTGACCTATATTAAACATTAAAATTTGTTCACATATTTAGTCTGTTGATTGAGTCTAGATGGTTAGATTATATCTCATGTAGAAATGGTCTAAGCTGTTGCTAGCATTGCTTCTATTTATACCTTCTCTCTTACATTTATCAATAGAGTTAATTCCAGTAATGGTCCTCCGACTATATTGATTTTTCAAAATTAGTCCCCGACTTTTATTTTGGACACTTTACATCCCTTGACTTTAAATTTTTTTCAATTGAGGTCCTTTCTATTAGACTATGACATTATTATTATATTATCTTCTGTATATTATGTAACATAGAATAATGTCCTAGTCTTTAGCCTATTAGTTAGCTCTCTCTCCTGAGGGTATTATTGTATTCCTGATTCTGTTACTGAATGATCGATTGCTTCCACTCTCATCTGGTATCAGTTAGCCAGTAACAATCCTCCCATCCCTTCTCTCTCTCCCTTGCCGTCGACAATGTCGCACAGCTCCGAGCGCAACCTCACCACTCCACCATCTCCTCCCCAAACACCGGTTACAACACCCTTACGAGTGCACACCATTTTGTGTCACTCAAACTCACGCATCGCAACTATTTGTATTGGCGTACGCAGGTCATCCCCTTCCTACGAGGCCAAGGACTGCTCGGCTTCGTCGATGGCTCGCGTCCATGTCCGTCGCCGCTCCTGGAACTTCCCGCCGGCGAGAATACGGACGACGCCTCCTCCTCCACAGAAAACCCGGCGTATGGCGTGTGTGTGCAGCAAGACGCCTCCATCCTCTCACTACTGATTTCCCCCCTCTCGGAGGAGGTCATGTATCTCGCTCTCGGACAGACAACCTCGCGTGGCATGTGGATGGCGGCAGAGAAGGCTCTCGACTCGTCGATACAAGTCCGATGTCTCAATCTGCTGAGGTAGATTCAGACGCTTCGTCAAGGTGATAGCTCCACCGCGGAATACTTAGGCTGTGCGTAACACCTGGTCGAGGACCTCACGCTGGCCGGAAGGAGCTTGACGCCGATGGAGCAGAATCTCTACGTTTTCCGGGGGTTGCGGCAGGAGTTCCGGGCCATGGCTTCCTCCTTGGCGATCACCGGCACACCGGTGTCCATACCCCAACTGGCCGACTACCTCCAGGCGCAGAAGTTCATCCACACTGATGATTTCCCGACCTACCAACCGACGACGGCGAGCAGTGTCCCCTCAGCGTTGTACGCGGTTCGAGGCAGATGCCAACACGGAGACGGTGGCCGGTAGTCTCGTGGTGGAGGAGGACGGGGCGGCAATCAACGCGGCGGCCGAGGTGGACGTGGCCGGAACGGTGGATTGCGCTGCCAAATATGCCGTTCTTAAGGCCACTTTGCCGCATTTTGTTACCGGAGGTACTCGGAGCCGCCGCCGTCGCAGGCTCACGTAGCCATCACGGGTGATGGATCGACACCGGCGCCGTCGACGATCACATCGTGGCTACTGGAAACTAGTGCGTCCACACATGCTACTCCGGACTCTAGTGTAATCACGCATTCCGAGGACTACCACGGTGATGACGTCCTACGAGTGGGTAATGACACAGGTTTGGCGATCTCGCATGTGTGTCATGCAGTAATTCCTTCGGTCAATAAGTCTTTAAAAATATCCAATATTTTACATGTTCCTGAGTTATCAGTGTCATTACTCTCTGTTAATCGATTCACTCGGGATAATAATTGTTATTTTGAATTTCACCCCTTTTTTTTTTTTTTTTTTTTTTTTGTGAAGGACTGAAACACTCAGGCAGTAATTCTTAAAGGTACAAGCTCGGGGGGTCTTTATTCGCTGTCAATTCCCAATAATCACTATGCGTTCGTCTCGGCTCGTGCCTCTTCCGTGGTCTGGCATCAGCATCTCGGTCACCCACATGGTCAAGCCCTCCACCGTGTCTTATGAGATTACCCGGTTGAGTCCAATAATATTGTAATTCCTAAATTATGTTCCCCGTGTCAACTTGGAAAATCGGCACGTTTTCCTTTAGATAGGGTAGCTACGTCAAGTCATAATGTACTCGATCTTATTTTTACTGATATATGGGGCCCCGCACCAGTCATTTCGGCGGATAGATCCCGGTATTTTGTACTCTTCGTGGATGATAATACCCGCTTCTGTTGGTATTACCCTCTACGATTAAAAACGGACAAATATAAAATATTCGATCTTTATCGGGCGACGGTATAACGTACGTTTTCGCGTTCTATCAAGTCCATTTAGTCTGATTTGGGAAGAGAATACCAAAAATTACATAAACTATCTTCCACATTAGGGATCGTGCACCGACAGTCATGTGTCTACACACACGAGCAAAATGGCTGTGTAGAACGCCAGAATCGGCATATTGTTGAAACTAGCTTGGCATTAATGGCCCAAGCGTTTGTCCCGCAACGTTATTGGGATCATGCTTTTGAAACAACCACTTATCTCATAAACGGTCTTCCGTCAGCCTCACTCCAGTTTGATACTCCATTTTATCGCATATATAAGACGCCGCTTACATACACGTACCTACGTGTGTTCGGGTGTCTCTGTTTTCCCTACCTACGCCCATATAACCGTCACAAAATCGAGTACCGGTCAAGCCGTGTGTCTTCTTAGGTTACCCACCATCCTTTAGGGGTTACCGCTGCATGTGCCTAAACATCAGGAAAACCTATGTCTGTCGCCATGTCCGCTTTGATGAATCTAACTTTCCTTTGTATCATTCCCACAGCACCCCCCCCCCCCCCCCCCCCCCGTCATTCCTCGTGCACTCAAGAAGCGAGGGCCGAGGGCCCAGCCCCGTGAACGGGCTCATGTCATGCGGCTGCGGCGTATGACACAAGGCACCGGGGAACAATTTCACGCTCTCACTACATCTACTGACGACCCTACCTGCTACTCACAAGCAGTTGGGCATCCGCAATGGCGGGACGCTATGGACCAAGAGTTCAATGCCTTACTGCATAATAATACTTGGCAGCTGGTTCTTACTACACCGAACATGAATGTCGTGGGTGTAAATGGGTCTTTCGCACTAAGCGCAAAGCCAATGGTACAGTCGAGCGCTACAAGAACAGGTTAGTGGCCAAGGGCTTCAACCAGTTTGCTGATGAGGACTTCTTCGAGACGTTCAGTCCGATGGTCAAGCCGACTACAGTTCGGATATTGATCTCTTTTGCCGTATCATGCGGGTGGACACTCCGGGATATGAGGATCTCTATCATCCTGATCATGTCTGCCACTTGCAGCGTTCGTTGTATGGGCTGAAGCAGGCGCCTCGGGCCTGGTTCAACCGTTTGCATGATTTTTTACTTGTAACAGGATTTGTCGCTTCCAAAACAGATGTGTCCCTGTTCCACTATTAAGCTGGGGATTCACGAGTTTTCTTACTCGTCTATGTGGACGACATCATCATGCTAGGTAACGAAACTGCCTCGGTTGATTCTCTACTTCAGCGACTATCAACGGCGTTCAAAATTCGAGATCTTGGCAAACCCTCATTCTTCCTTGGCATAGAGACTCTTGCCGTCCTGGAAAGCATGATTCTTACACAACGGCGTTTCATGCGTGACATTTTGCAGTGAGCAGGCATGACCGACTGCAACCCTCTAGCTACACCGGCCGCTGTCATTCAACCGGTGAGTCAGTCCACCGATCCGTTTCACAACCCCACGCACTATCGTCGTCTAGCCGGGGCTCTACAGTATCTCACCATCACGCGTCCGGATCTGTCCTATGCTGTCAATCGTCTTTGTCAGTTTATGCACACTCCTACAGAGGAGCACTGGGGGCTACTTAAGCGTGTTCTTCGCTACATAAAAGGGACTCTTGACTACGGCCTCCGCATCTCTCCATCCAGGTCATCTGACATCCATGCTTATTCAGATTCTAACTGGGCCGGCTGTTCGGTCTACCGGAAGTCCACCAGTGGCTATGCCGTGTTCTTGGGGTCCAACCTTGTCTTGTGGGTCTCTCGGAAGCAACGAACGGTGGCACGCTCATCGACAGAAACCGAATACAAAGGCCTCGCAGATGTGTGCGCGGAGGTCACCTGGGAGTTGCGCTTGAGTGCTTCTACACCACCCACACTATGGTGTGACAACCTTGGTGCCACGTACCTCTGTGCAAACCCAGTTTTCCATGCTCGCACCAAACACGTAGAAGTTGACTATCACTTTGTACAGGATAAAGTCTCCTCCGGTGAGTTTCAGGTTCATTTTGTGTCAACCAAAGATCAACTCACCGACATCTTTACCAAATCGCTTCCAGCCGCGCATTTTGGAATTCTTCGTGACAAGTTCAATGTGGTGTGCCACCAGCCTTGTGCTTGAGGGGGAGTATTAGGCTATGGTATTATTATTATATTATCTTGTGTATATTATGTAACATAGAATAATGTCCTAGTCTTTAGCCTATTACTTAGCTCTCTCTCCTGAGAGTATTATTGTATTCCTGATTCTGTTACTGAATGATCGATTGCTTCCAATCTCATCCTTTCGTCAGATTACGGTAAAATGAACTTTAAGTGAAAGAGTAAAGTAGTCATTTCATCTGCCTAATGTATAATTCTTCGTATTTCTTCCTTGTATACGCGACTTCAGGCATCAGATTCACTTAATTGCTTAATCCCTAATGAAATTTTGTTCTTCGAGTGGATTTAGGGATTAAGCAATTAAGTGAATCTGATGTTCGAAGTCGCGCATACAAGGTAGAAATACGAAGAATTATACATTAGGCAGATGAAATGACTACTTTACCCTTTCATTTAAAGTCCAATTTATCATAATCTAACGAAAGGACCTCAATTGGAAAGAAATTGAAAGTCAAGGGACGTATAGTGTCGAAATTAAAAGTCAAGGACTAATTTTGAAAAATCAATATAATCGGAGGACCATTTCTGGAATTAACTCTTGATCAATATGTTGAATATACACTTTTTTTTTTTCATTCTCACATGGTATCAGAGCCTAACTCTCACAAAATTTATTATTATTTTTTCTTCCAATTCATTCTTATGGCAATTACTTCCGCTACTGTTATTGTCCAAATATCCGCCTCGACCAACTTCCCAATCCTAGAAGGCGGTAATTGTCCAGTCAAAATTTGAAAAATGAGTTGGAATATGAGAATGAGTGAGAGAATAGTCGAATATTTTATGAATTGAATATAGCTCATCGTGACCTGAAAGGCGGTAATTGTCCAGTCAAAATTTGAAAAATAAGTTGGAATATGATAATGAGTTAGTAGAGAACAGTCGAATATTTTATGAATTGAGTCTAGTCCATCACTTAAAAGGCATATGATAAAAATATTAGAGTACGGACGGTTTAAAAAGAGTAAAAGACATTTTTGGTCCTAGACTTATAGTGGCACGGACAATTTCAGTCTTCCATAAAAAAATTTGCCATTTTATGGACAGACTTATTGTGACGAGGACATTTTTGGTCCTCCGTCTGTAATTCCGTTAAATGGCCATCTAAGAGGAGGGCAATTACGTCAATTCAGCTTATCTCCTACAATGGCTGCCTATTTTTCCTCCCTCCCGGGGATGATGATACCTTTCTTCAATTCTACAATAATAAGACAAAGATTTAGTATCATTGAGTTCTTCTTTTCGCTTATATTTGAAAGATTTGAATCAACCATAATATTTTCACATACTGATTCAGTGCTTCTAGATTTCATCATTGGGCAATTAATAACTCTGCTGAAAATATGTTGTAGGAGCAACCAGAACTCATACTTACTCTTAACAACGATCATAACCAAACAGTGCCTGAACCAAATTCAGAATGTGTAAAAATACCTACTGATGGAACTGATGATTGGGAAATTGATTCGCAGCTTTTGAAATTTGAAAACAAAATTGCATCTGGAATATTTGGAGATCTGTAAGTTGCATATGATCCTTATCCTGAGTTTCAGTTGTGGTTGCACTCATTGTCGGTCATATCATAAATCTTTTCAGGTATAAAGGCACATATTGTAGCCAAGAGGTGGCTATAAAAGTCTTAAAGCCAGAAAACTTGAATGCGGATATGTTGAAAGAGTTCACTCAGGAAGTCTATATCATGAGGTCTGCTAACTCACCGAGGCCATGCCGCTAATTAAATCTAGTCAGATTCCATCCGGTCAACCGTCAGTTCCACCTCCAATCTACGCTCCCCTTCCGTCGATGCCACCACCGCTTTGGTAACGGCCACAAGCAAAGGCTAGTTATGAGATCGGGCAGTAAGATTCCCCACGGGGATGATATGATTCTCTCCTCCCTAGAAACTAAAAACCTTCGTGACGTCACGATCCACAACGACGTGTGCCAAGTTTTGCTAGAGTGGATCCCGTTCCTTCACCACCACGGCCACTATCATCACCACGGCGACGGTGAAGAGATGCTCGCAAAGTATGCCTCAAAATACTCATCGCTTCGATCGCGAGAAAATGGAGAAAATTACAATTCTGAAATCAAGAACAAAACAGGCAAGGATGAAATATAGAGAAGGAAATAACACGAAATGGACGGACGACAAAAAATGTCCGCGTCACAATAAGTCTGTTCATAAAATGGCAAAATTTTTTATGAAGGGCCAAAATTGTCCGTGACACTATAAGTCTAGGACCAAAAATGTCTTTTACTCGTTTAAAAATGTCGTGGAGCAAAAATTACCGTTATGTGATACTTGAGAGTAACTCAAAAGTGACCATTGAGAAGATTATTAATCGGATAAATGCTAGAAACCCCTTGTTTCATATTGTGTCTACTATACAAGAACTTGTTAACAAAGATTATTGGAGGCGTTGCATGACAAATATTCATAGAGAACCAACATTTTTTTGTAGATTGGTTGGTAGTGCACATTGATTTTGGATTACTTGGCTTAATTATTCTTGATACACACATTTTGGTGGTGTTCAACATATCCTAAGAGCAACAATATCAGTGGGTTTTTTTTTTTTTGTGTGTGTGGGAGGTGGAGGGTTGCTAACAACAAAATCTGGGGATGAAATTTTAATGAGTTAATTCCTTTTTTGGTCATAGACTTATGGTGGCAAAGACAATTTTAGACCTTTATAAAAAATTTAAACAATTTATGGACACACTTATTGTGACGAGGACAATTTTGGTCATCCGTCAGCATTTCCGTTAGAGGCCGTTTGAGAGAGGGGTATTTGCGTCATTTCATAATATCTCCTTCTTGCAGCCTTCTAGGGTTTCGTTCTCGGTAGATTTCGACACTCCGGTGTAGATACTCGCATTCCAATTCGCCAAAAACCTAACGGAGAGGATAGAGAAGGAAACAGGAAGGTTAGAGGGGTGAGCTAGGAACGGTTAGCCAAGTGTCAAGAGAGTATGGCATTGACTTGCAGTCCCGGAATCTTAGCTAGCTACCAAGGATTTCCCTTCAGTCAAGTGATCCAATTTGCTGGAATCCAGGCCATCATCGAGTGTGTGCATAATGCAAGGAAGATCCACTTGGTTGATATCAATATCCGGAGTGGAATTCAGTGGATGATTTTGATCCAAGCTTTGGAAGAGCACTCGGCAGTTCCCCAATCGAGCGTATTAGGTTAACCGCAATTGGAGTGGCAGAGAGGGAGAAGATGGAAGAGTGCGGCAAGAGATTGCAGAGCTTCGAAAACTCCTTGAATCTGTCGTTTTGTTTCGGTAAAGTTTTCCTGTCAAATTTGAAAGATTTTAGGGGAGATTTGGTCCAGGTAGAAGATGAGGAAGTTGTGGCGGTGCTAGCAAACATCGTGCTGAGAACAATGATCGCACGGGCGACCGATTGCCTCGACAGACTAATGAGCGGAATCCGAGGGCTTAGGCCGGTAGTGATGGTGGTGGCAAAAGTGGAAGGGAACCATAACTCGCCGTCATTCATTAACTGATTTGTGGAGGCACTTTTCTTCTTCGGCGCATACTTCGATTGCTTGGAAGATTTCCTTGATCGCGACGACCCGTGCAAAAGGACCATTGAAGGGCTCCATTTTGGGGAAGGGATTCGAAACATGGTGTGCAAGAAGGACACTCTAGAAGGTTGCAAGAAGGAGATATCATGAAATGATGCAAATACCCTCCTTTCAAACGATCATCTAACGGGAATGCTGATTGAGGACTAAAATTATCCCCGTCACAATATGTGTGTCCATAAATTGTCCAAATTTTTTATGAAAGATTAAAATTGTCTTTGCCACCATAAGTTTAGGACCAAAAAAGGAATTAACTCAAATTTTAATGGTTGGAGAAATGAAATTTTGGATGGTTTTTTTTTTTTTTTCCTGGGTGAGAGAGAGGGAGAGAGAGAGAGAGAGAGAGAGAGAGAGAGAGAGAGAGAGAGAGAGAATGTGTGTGTGTGTTTCAATAACGCGCTCGTTTGGTGCTTCAGAGTGGTTGCTAAGGTCTATGTTTTTTTTCTTTAATGAGCGTGAAAAATTTAACGGCTAATTTTTGTTTTTTTTTTTTACACTCTTTGTTATTTAATTTAGTTAGTTTTTTTTTTAAAAAATTTATGCAATGTAATATATAATTTGAATAACATAATATTATTTGAATTGAAATTTTATAACTATCAATTAAATTAAAATTTGACATGTTTATTTTAAACATAATAAGTACGGAGTAATAATTATAATTTTGAATTATAATGTTTAGAAGGATAATAAATAAAAATAATAATTATAATATGATTTGTTGTTTTTTTTTTTTTGGTTGTAAATTAGTGGGTCCAAAAAACAAATTCAAACTCTTGGGGAAGGGGTTTTTGAGATTAAGTAGGATAGTAAATATTGAGGTGGATGTCAGTTTGACGATCTCAGTGAGAGCGCTACTTATCAGTTCGCTTACAGGATTATGTTTTGGTTCATGATAATGACCTGTCCGATGAAGAGATTGTTCAATTTGCTCTTTTGAATTAGTGGGTCCAAAAAAACAAATTCAAACTCTTGGGGAAGGGGTTTTTGAGATTATATAGGATAGTAAATATTGAGGTGGATGTCGGGCTCACAAAGAAATGGGAGGTTAAGAGTGTTGGCAATCATTATTGTGTGGACCATGGTCCATACAAGTTGTGTGGACCATATTTTGTATACTATAAAATAATGTACATTTAATACAAAAATAATGTATATTCAGCACAAAAATAATGTACATTGTATTCAGGGGATGTACATTATTTTTATACTGAGTGTACATTATATTGTATAATGTACATTCAGTACAAAAATAATATACATTTAATATATTAAAAATGTACTTTATATTATGGTCCACATAACACATTGTGTATGGTTCACACAATAATTTGCCGAGTGTTGGGGTTGCTCTAACAATTGA